ACTCGAAGATATATTATTATATAAGCGTGATTATTTTACTTTATTGAAGTTTTGCTATAGTATGTTAAGGGAGTTAAGGGAGTTCTTTCTATGAAATTAATAAATGGAGAGAGCTTTTCTCCCGTTCTTGGGTCCTCTTTGGTATTTATACATGAATTATGAAATCATGATTGCGTAATATTATTCTCACTCACTTATGTCCGTGTTCGTTGGTAATTTTGAATGAGTTAATAAAATAATTTGACCGTCTTATTATTTTGCCCATATTTAATATTTAATTTTTGAAATCAACGAGTGTATCAATCTTCGTATTGATCATCATCGTTGTAGAAACACAAGATTTCCCAGCCATCTCCGGAAGATCTAGACATTCACGCCGAAGCCCCACAAGGTAAAATAGGAGGTCCTTTTGGTTGATTTCAGACTGGGAATTTTGTCATGGACCAGAAAAGGTTAAATGAAACATCAGAATTTGGTCGGATTAAACTCGCAGGCCTTCATGTCTTGTACTTACATTTCGTAGTTAGTTAAGCCCCGTTTGTTTTCTATTATTTGTTCATTAAAATGAAAAATATAATCATTATTCATTATATCAAGCCATCATGTTTGACTTTTATCCTTTGTGTGGGACCCGTAACGACTATATTTTTTATTCTCATTTTTACATTGATGCGTACCAAACGGGACCTAAAACTATTTTCTTTCATAATTAATTTATGTTTATAATTTATGCCAAATACTAGCCAAGCTTGTGAGATTTGTAAGAAATCCAACATGTCGTCAAAAAATATTTTAAGAAAACATTTTTAGGCAACCCGACCTATTCACTGGTGAATTTGTCAATTTTTAACTTGTTATTTCTTATTTTTGTAGTTTTTAATATATACCTAGATTGATCTTTAGACCTAAAATAAAAAATAAAATAATAATAATAATAATAAAAGAGTCAATCTGATTTCGATTGTGCACTAAAATCAATAAAAATAACATAAATTCAAAATGCATAGCAAAAGCTGACTAGTGAATATCATTGTCGTTCATTTGAAGATTATGAACATAATACCTTGTGAAAGAAAAAATTCATCAGGTCTATGAATTAGAGGTGCATAGAAGATGAAATTTAAAAAATATATCTCTTTAGAAAGTTAAGATTTTAAATCAATTATTCAAGACATAATTCAATGAAAGTTTCTATTTTATTTTATTTTATTTTCAATATTACACAGACGACACAGTTTAATACAATGTAAACAGAACAAAAAAATTTATTAGTAGTAAACTATATTTGTCACTTATTCATAAAAACTTAATATCCTTAAAATAATAATAATAATAAATAAATAAAAAATCTTAATTTAGAGGGGCTGCTTCTTGAATAATCCCCTTATTTTTCGGGGCTGCTCAAGTGGTATTTTCCCAATTTAAATTCAGTATCGATTTTGCTTAATCCAGAACCATCCATCATAACGTTTACTTTTCCAAAATGCCATTGGAATTTTATAATATAATAATATTTGATATTCCTATCTTTTCATTAGTCCATGACAATAATGAGAAGTGGAATCATGATACAGGCCAACGCGTGTCAATTGAATAAATGCTTATCTATGATACAAAAATCAAATTATTACTTAAATTTTATAAAAATTAATGAAATGTATGATTAAAAAATTATGAATCTTATAAAATATATAATTTAGATTAATTGAGAATTTGGCCTATATTTAATTCACTTTCTTAATTAAACCAAACATGAGTTTGAATTCTCAAATTATCAAATAAAGATAAATATATAAAAGAAAACTTTACAATTTTATTAAAAATATCTAACAATTAATTAAAGAAATAATTAGGAAAAACTATATGACATTTAATGATCAAGTTACCCTCATAGTATAAAAATAACAACTTTAAGTGAAGCAATGCATATCTGATATGCAATTGTTGTGACACTCCTGAATATCTGATAGATGTGTATTTTCACTCTTTAAAGATGTTCATTTTTTTGTTCGACACCCCTATGCTTCCGAACATTTCATTAATGGTAACACCAAAAGGCG